CCGCACCCTCACAAAAGGCTCCAGTGGGAGGGTCTGCATGGCGCGCCCGCACTCAATTCGGCACACCCCTCACACGTCTCGTGACCCAACATGGCGCATCACCGAAGGCGGTATTCACACCTGCATCTGGTTGGGTCATTCGCCTGGGTGTGTTTTTCATTGATTTCGTTTCCTGGGGCCATGCAAGATGGTTCCAGGATTGAATGCTGGGTCATGAGTCATGGCGGAGCGGGACAAAGGCCCGACCCGCCTCGATCGACCCTGCGATCTTGGCGTCGGAATTTGTTCGCAACCTGCGAGTTTGCGTTTTGTTCAGGGCTCGGGGCCCTCGCAGATCGATCGGGCTCGAACAACAAAAACGTAGCACCCCGCAGATGCGGGTAAGAGTGAGGGGGCGGTGGGGACGTCGGCAGTTTGCGAGACTCTGGAAAAGCCCGCCGCAGGCGCCGAAGTTACACAACTTATACAACGAGCCCGGAAAGCAATGTGGGTAGGTCGCGGATGGGTCGCGGGTGGGTTGCGGGGTGGGTCGCGGGTGGGTCGCCTCGACAAGCGAAGCCGTTTAGTAAACGCACGCCAGGAATGAATCGAACAGGGCAGGGCTGTCTTGTCAACGTCCAGGGCCGTTTTAGTGAAAGTCAATTTTCGAGCCCGGGTGGTTTTTCTTCCCTTGAGGGTGGGTCGCGGATGAATCGCGGATGGGTCGCGGGGTGGGTCGCGGGTGGGTCGCGGTGTGGGTCGCGGGTGGGTCGCGGGTGGGTCGAGCAGTTTGTCGCGGGTGGGTCGCGGGGTGGGTCGCGGGTGGGTCGCGGGTGGGTCGCGGGGTGGGTCGCGGGGTGGGTCGCGGGGTGGGTCGCGGGATGGGTCGCGGGGTGGGTCGCGGGTGGGACGACAAAAATCAACAACAACAACAACAACAACAGCAACACCACCAACAACAACAACAACAACGACAACAACAACAACAACAGCAACAGCAACAACAACAACAATGAGAACAACAACGCAACAAGCAGAACTCTCTCCTCGAATTCCTTATTCAGCCACGCACCCAGGGACAATTCCGTTCGGCCCCCTCACTCTTATACAGAAAGATGGGGTCCACGATTCTGGTCAGGATTTGTTCACAATGTTGCAATGTTTTGTGACGTCGGACCTCAGAGAAGGTTCGGTGCTGTTGGTTGCAGTTGGTTGAGAGTGTTTCTCTTCTGTGCTTGTCGCTTTGCGGTCTCTTGAGGCCTGTGGGGACCTCTCTCCTCGCTCAGGACTTGTGGACCGATAATCAGGGCTCTTGCACGGTCCGAAACATCCGACGACATGATTTTTTCAATGCGCGGCCCCAGGAGGCCCGACCCCTTCCCTGGGGCAATTTGTTCGCCCCGCATTCACTGTTGATGGTTCTGGGGCCCGAAAATGGGCCCAAGAGGCCAACATCGATGGAAACTCCTGGAGTGGAAGCACTATCCCGTCGGAATCGGGGTTCCTTGGGCCTGCCTCTGGGAGCTACTCGCCGAAACCGCCAGGTTTCCGCCTCGAGCACCTCGTTACACGTGGCAGCTGGGCTTTCATATGGCCGCCAAGACGGGTTGGGGGCAGACGGGGCTAGCACCCAGATAGATCCGTTCCAGGGCGTTCCCGAGCGCTCTCAGAGCGCTCTGAGAAGGCCGCGGCGCCCGATACATGTTCCAGAGCAGCCAGGTCTCAGAGAGATTCCCGATGTATCCTCGACCGAATTTGTCCTCGTCCTGACTTCGTCTTAGATGAAGGGGGCCGCGCCCCACGGCCCAGTCCGAAGGGGGCCGCCATCCTCCGGCGGCGGGGGCCGCGCGGGGAGCGAGAGCGGACACGGCCGCGCGCTCCCCGCGCCTCGCTCGGAACCACGAGCGGCGAACATGTGATCCAGCTCGAAGCATATCCCTGCCCTGTGCGTGGCATCGCCTTACCTCGGTGCCGATCTAGAGGATTATCCCCTCGGCTTCTGAGGGCACATCCCCAAGATTGTCATCGCCCTGGGTCTGCCTGGTTGGAACATGTCCGTATCCGCGCTGTCGTGGTCTGGGTTCCTGGGCTCGGTCCCGCGGATGCGCGGTCGCACGGTGGCGTTCCCCGCGGGGCATCCGCGACAAAACGCCCCGTTTTCGCGGGGTCACGGCCCAGGGGCCCGGCCCGCGAGGCTGCGGATACGGATATGTTCCAGGCGCTCGGGCACGGCAGGTCCCCCGACGGCTCGTCATATGCTCGAACATCTTGCCCCTCACCAGCCTCCGACGTCACGATGCTTCGCCCTGGGGGCCAGGCTTCCATGCTATGATGTTATTTGACGGCCCCGAGGCCCAGCAAGGGCCGTTACAGGCCGATTATAGCGACACAAACGCCTATCCTAATTTTCTCGCGTCCAGAGGGGGAGGATTCCAGGGCTACTGGTCTACAAGGTTGGCCACACGCACTCTGTTTTTGCCAGTGCACACCCCCTCGAGGATCGGCTCCGCAGGCCATGGCGGCCCTCAGCTCAACGGCGGGGCCTCGTCGATGTTGCGAAGGCCTTACAGCGGATGCCGCCGACCTTGAAGGGGGACGACGAAGACGGCGACGAAAACCATTCAAACACGCAAGGACAATCATTGGTGTTACCCTCTTGGGGTTGTCTTGGTAGTGCTCTTGGGGCTCTCTTGGGCCATTTGGGTGCCTCTTGGGAGCGTTTTGGGGGTCTCTTGGGGCCTCCTGAGAGGCCTCTTGGGGCGGAAGGCTCGAAATGGGGTTCCCCCTCTCCTCTTTGGGCCTTCTTGGGGCCGTATTCGGCCGTCTTGGGGGCCTCTTGGGTAGTCTCGGGGCCATCTTGGGTCGTCGTGGTCCGTCTTAGAGCCGTCTTGGACTGTTTTCGGCAGCCTTGGGCTTTCCTGTGAGCGCTCGTGGAGCTCCTTGTGGCGTCTTGGGGCTTCTTGGGCCATCTTGCGGTTGTTGACCCTTATCAAGGTCTTGTTGAACCGTTTTGGATTGGAATTGCCGAGTGAGAACTACCAGTCCTGCTTGAAGGGGACCCGACAAGGGACGGGGGGATCGCATTCTGACCTGGGACACCCTCCCAGGACCCCTCCCCCGCCTGCGGGGGAGGGATCGAAGGAAAGGTGCTTCCCTTCGACTCGATTACGACGTTGCTCGATTTCCCTCTGGTTGGAACGCTTGAGGAGGAGGGCACAGAGACAGGGGAGGACTCAAGTAGAAGAGCGTTCAGGGAGGGGAGCGGTGACGACGACTGCTGAAACGGAAAAGCCCCTCACGCACGCCCACCCGAGCCGAGGGAGGCCTCCGGCTCACCAGCGGGGCCTCCACGATAGCTCTTTTCACAGGGCCAGGAGGTTCTTTCTCCGCTTTTTAGCTTCGGGAGGAGGGGTGGAGGGAGGGGGAGGAGGCAAGCTAGGTGCGCTCGCGTCATATCTGACGTCATACCCCTCCCTCCCATCCCTTACCATGGCGTATATATCATCTCTATTCGCGCAGTCGGACGTCGAGAAGTGCAATGATCGCGCGAGGGTACGCGATGCATGGTAGAGCACGGAATGGCATAGCGTAGAAGATCACGGCAGAGCGTAACATGCCATAGCATGGCGCGGGATTTCGCAGTGAAGCATTGCATTACAAATCATTGCAACGCAAAGCATGGCATCGCACAGCGGCGCAGAACACAGCACCGCACAGTATGTCATGGCGCCAGCTTTCTTGGAGGGTAATTGGATCGTCTTCGAGATGTCTGAGCCAGTCTGGAGTCGTGGCTCCATGTCTAGCTTCTTGGGCTTCCCGAAAACCTCCACACAAGGCGGGGCTGATGGATAGCACCCGCAAAGCAGTAACACGGCTCACGCTTGATACTTCCTGAAGGCGACGACGCTCCAAAGTAAAGTGGGGCTTCAGCAACCCAAACATCAACGAATCGGCACCGAATGTGTGATCACTTCCGATGTTTTTGTTCGGGGGGGGGGGGGGGGCATTTTTTAGATTTTGGGGCCTATTTGGACGGACCGGACACGCCCGGTCTGCAGCGGGAGGGCGATTTGGAACAACCAGAGGCGCAGAAATGGGGCAAGCGCGCCAGCGGGAGCAACAGCTAAACAAAAACATCCAAGCGACAACCCAACTGCCGGGAATCCTGCGTTTAAAAATCAATACGCGGAGGGCGGCCAGACATCTTCCGGACGTCATCTGGGGAAAGAGGAGTAATATTCCTAGTGTGTAATTGTAGAAGGAGAAGGACGAGGAGAAGGAGGAGGAGGAGGAGGAGGAGGAATATCCGAAGAGGAAAAGGTACCGACACCGCTCTCCTGTCCCTCCCTCGTTTCTGCATTTTCGGGCCTCCTGGCAGGACCTCGTCGCCACGGCGGCTGGACTCGCCCCGAAACCTTGGTCAGAACGCACTCCAGGAGAGGTCAGGAGACTGGCGGTGTCCGTGCATGAGCTCGATTTCCCCAGAGACGGCAGGAATGAATGAGAGGGCGGATCTCTTGCTTCTACTCCTCCTTCTCTCTCTCTCTCTCTTTCTTCTCCTCCTTCTTTCTCTCTTTACCCCTCCATCCTCGTCCTCCCCTTCCTGGGAGATCCGAACCTGCCTTCTATTCCTCCTCCTCCTCGGTCTCCTCATCCTCCTAATCCCCTTCCCTCCTCCTCGAAAACAGGACGAGGAGGAGGAGCAGGAGGAGGAGAAACAAAACGAGGAAGCGAAGGAGAACCAAAACTCTGAGCTGTCGTCGTCGTTGTCACCACCGATCCTGCCTGCTCATCGTCGTTGCCCTCGTCATGTCTCCTGCCTCCTCGGTGCTCTTCTTTCTAGCTCATCCTCCGCGGCCTCGTCATTACTACTCGGTCTTACTCACTCGGCGCTCGTCTTCGTCATTGCCTGTCGGCGCTCATCGTTTTCGCTCTTCCTCGTCGGCTATCTTCATCGCTCCACTCAGCATCCTCGTCCTGAGGATTCCCCAGTTTCCCTCGTCGTCGTCGTCGTCCAAGAGGTTGGCATGGTTGTCGGCTTCGACGATGAGAGCCAGAGGTACATGGTGCAAATGATACCCGACGGTGGTCTCAAGAAGCTGCGGGAAGAGAACTTGATGCCGCTCGAGGTCTCTGACTGTTTCATCACCATTACCTTTGCATGTGCACGCTCATGGGGTCGGAGAGGAGGAGCCCATGAGTTGAGGGCGCACGTTGATAGCAACGTCGAAGTTCCTCACTAGCCAGCAGAAGTTGAGACAGGAGGAAGAGCGGGAGTCAAGGGAAGCGGAGGAGGTGTTTGCTTGCACCCGTGGATGCTTTGTCCTCATCATCCGGACCACACCTCATTTCTGGTAGCCGCCCTCTGGCTGGCCGCGGATTCTGTTAAACTAGGCCACCGGGGAGGGGGCACGAAGTTGACCGCCCCATCGCGCATCGCGGCTTGTTGGAGAATGTTGGAGATACGCCTTTCTCCACGGCTGCGTTGCGAGGGTGCGAAGATAACCGCACGTCGCGCATCAAGGGGGCGCGATATGCGAAGCTAGACGACGTAGTTGAACTCTTCAGTCGCACCAGAATGCCTAGGCCAGGCCCCTCGCTTCATCCTGTTGGCCTGGCCTGCCGTGGCCACTGGGGCGGCACGGCGCCAGTAGCCCCCGCGTGGTGCCATCGTCTCGAGCAGAGCAAAGGCCCCAGCTCGAGCAGAGGGGGTTGGCACTGTGCGCGGGCCACGTGATATTGCAGTCAAGCCTGCATCAGAAGCCGTGGGAGGAAACGACACCGATACCGCTACGCGTGCCTCATCGCCACGCTTGGGTTCGCCTCGAAATATTGATCAGAACGCACCCCGGGAAGGGTCCGGGGAGTAGTTGTATCATACCTGCTTGTTTCCCCGAAGTGGATCAATAGTTTTGCAAGGCTACCCTGTTGCATCCTTGCTCTCGGCCCATCCTAGCCCTCATCCCTGGGGCATGGGCTTCCCATTTCAGCCGCAATTCGGGCGTGCAATGGCCTTGCAAAATCACCGCGCATCCTCATGATCTGGTCCGCAGCTCTCGTGCGTGGCGGGGCTCCAGGATAGTTCAACTGCGCAGCAGGCTGGACCGCCGAGCTCGTGGAGGCATGTCGTTCGAGAACCTGCAAGCGGGTGGGCACTCGGCCATCCAGGTACTGGCCGCACGAGAAACGAGAGGTAATGATGCCGCCCCGACCTTTCGGTCGGACGATGTCGTGGCCGTGTGGCCGCCAATGGCCTACTGCAAGGCTGCGTCGGTTGTGACGGCCGGCGATCGATCCTGCTAGCATTTCGAGGACCCATGCGGCCACAGTCTTCCAGCACAGCCACCAGCCTGCTTCGCCCCCATGCGCGCTATAGATAGCTTCTCCGGTTCTGTGGTTTGCAGAGCTCCCGAGACCCTAGAATTAGTGGCTGCGGGCTCCGCTTTGGCGGTTCTTGTGGGCATCTCCCACCAGAGTTCAGGCATGCCTGGAAAGGGTGCACGACAGGCGCTCCCGTTGGACGCGACTTCATGAGTCGTGAGACGAACCTGAGGAGCAGGAGACAGAGGAGGAGGGGTAAGAGGAGGAACATTAGGAGGAGGAGGAGGAGGAGGAAGAGGATCGGGAAAAGATAGACTCAGAGGGCTGCAGCGCTCAGCGAACGCATAGCGCGAGAGGGGGGGGGAGCAGGAGGACGACGACGGGGAACGCCGATGAGACGCTCGGGAAGGACGACGGAAAGGACTGGGAGCAGGGACGAGGAGCGGGAGGATGAGCACAAGCACCAGGGACACCACCGGGAGGCGCAACGCTGCAGCGCTGACTCGGGCAGAGCCCGGGCAAGCGCGAAAAGGCAGTTGCGTGGAGGGGCCGGCCACCGAGGGTGGCGACGGCGGAGCTTGGCGGCTGGTCACAGGAGCAAATAATCCGAAATCGCAACTCGTCCTGGAGATCCGTCGTCGCCACGCCTGGATTCTCCACACCTTTTTGTAGGCGGAGGGCTACCGGTTTAGCCGAGATGTCGTTGCTATGGTCAAGGGGTGGTTGCCCTTGAAGATGGGTTTGTGTTGTCGTTGCGTGTCCTTCGAAAGTTGTTCCACAAGTGGGTGCCGGGAGTGATGTCGCCACGACTGGTTTCTCTACAGGTTCGGGTCAGAATGCATCCTGCGCCGAGAGATGTCCGGGGAGCATCGGTATCGGTACGGTACCTGGTTGCCTCCCCACTGCATGCGATGCCGCCAGAGCTGCTGGACCCTACGGAGGCGCGTCGGGGCACACACTTTCCGGCCGCCCCGGGGCGGGCGCCCCCCAGGGCGGAAAAACATGTTTGTTGGCACCGACGGCGGCCTGGCGGCGCCGATGGCGGCGCCGCTGTTGGTGTTGGCGGCCCTTGTTTCAGCGTGCGGGAGACGGTGTGGAAGAGACTTGTCCGCGATCGGGGACTCCTGTCCCGGGGCGTCTCGCCGGAGTGCGTACGTTGTCCACGGGTGCTGGCTGGCGGCCTTGCTGGCGGTGACTGTTGGCCTTCTTGGCGGCGCCCGCTGGAGCCGACGGCGGCTCTAGTTAATTAGCGGCGGTGCCTTAGCTATCGGAGATACTTGTTTCCGCCATCGGGGACGCCTGCCCCGTGGCGGCTGGAAAGTTTATCAGAGTGAGGGGGCTGAACAGAACGGTCATTCACTGTCCCTGGGTGCGTGGCTGAAGTGGAATTCCGCGATGCGGATTCTTGTTGTTGACGTCGTCCCACCCGCGACCCCTCCCGCGACCCACCCGCGACCCACCCCGCGACCCACCCGCGACCCACCCGCGACCCACCCGCGACCCACCCGCGACCCACCGCGACCCACTTTCGACCCACCCGCGACCCACCCCGCGACCCACCCAAAATGTTCGGCGCCTGCGGCGGGTTCCTTTCGCATTCGTTCCAGGTGGAGAACCTGCGACCCACCCGCCATCCAAACCGCGCCCGCGACCCACCTGCGACCCACCGCGACCCACCCGCGACCCACCCGCGACCCACCCGCGACCCGCCGCGCGACCCGCCCGCGACCCACCCCGAGACCCCGCCTGCGACCCACCCCGAACCCCCCCGGCGACCCACCCGCGACCCACCGGCGACCCACCCTCGACCCACCCCGCGACCCACCGCGACCCACCGCGACCCACCCGACCCACCCGCGGCCCACCGCGACCCATTCTCGACCCACCCGCGACCCACCCCCCCAAAATTTTCGGGGCCTGCGGCGGGCTTCTTTTGCATTCGTTCCAGGTGGAGAATCTGCGACCCACCCGCGACCCAATCCGCGTGCGGCGGGCTGTTTTTGAATTCCTTCCAGGTGGAGGTGGAGAGCCCGCGACCCACCTGCGACCAAAACTACTTTCACTGAACAAGCGAAAACTCCGGCGCCTGCGGCGGTTTTTTTTTGCATTCGTTCCAGGTGGACAACCTGCGACCCTAATCGCGTTCAGTGTACACATCAAAATTTTCGGCGCCTGCGGCGGGCTTCTTTTGCATTCGTTCCAGGTGGAGGTCGAGCAAACCAAAAATACGTTCACTGAACACGCCAAACATTCGGCGTCTGCGGCGGGCTGTTTTTGCAGTCGTTCCGGGTGGCCCACCAGCGATTCCCCCCGCGCTGATTTTGTCAGAGCACGCAAATCGGCGCCTGCGACGGGCTTGCTCGCATTGGTTAGGAGGAGGAGGAGGAAGAGCAGGAAGAGGAGGAAAAGGAGGAAGAGGAGGAGGAGGTGGAGGAGGAGGCGGACGACGACGACGACGATGAGGACCAGGACGCGGACGACGAAGAGGAGGAGGAAGAGGAGCAGGAGAAGGAGGAGGAGGAGGAGGAGGAGGAGGGCGCCATCGACAGGGAAGGTGGGGGCCCCGAGGTCCGCCGGCTCGACGCCCGCGTCGCGGGGTGCTACGTACCCCTCGCGATGGCACGTCGGGGCTTCAGATCTTCCAGCCGCCCAAGGAAAGGCGCCCCGATGGCGGAAAAGGTTATCTCATGTCCCATGCGGTTCTTCGTCCGCTGCGTTTCTGAGTTTTCACTAACAGGCATCTGGCCCTCGGCGGGAGCAAAGCGCGGGCGGTTCCGCCGGCAGAAGCTGCGTCGCGTTGGGGGATTGACAGTTTCTTTCGGAAATGGCCAGGACCCTCTGTAAGGGGAGCCAGTCAGTGATTGATCCCTTTCCCAGGCACAGCGTTCCGCTTCGAGCAGTTCTTTACGGGCCCGGGGCCCGGCCAGGGCCCCCGGATGTTGCAAAGCTTTCCGTCGTGTTTTTGTTGTGGCAATGCGACGAACGCGTGCAGTGAGGCCTTGTTGACGTCGATTATCGGCCGCGCAGTTGGGCCAAGTCCAAACCCTCCGTCTCTTCTTATCATTATTATTCTTCCTGTTATTATGTTATTTCTTTTTCGTTTCCGCACCGCGAAGAGGTCTGGGGGTCTTCAGAGAAGGAACAGAAACCACCGCCACCGAAAACCCTGGGCGGTGGCACGCCTGCGCGGGGTCTGATACTGGGTGACGCTCGAACGTACCACCGCCTATGGGTCGCCCCCCCTCCCCCCGATATGTTCTTGGTTGCAGTGGTCTTTGTTTCTTCTTTCGGCGGCGCGCTGAGGAGGGGGCGATGCGGCGGGGCTTTCACCCCTCCCACCCCCGGCCTTGTGATAGGCCTTTTTGTGGAGAAGGCTTCTCAGAATGTCAGAGGCCTTCTGAGCCTTCTGGGAAGGCCATCCCCCGCTGCCTCTGGGCGCACCGCCGACAGGCTCAGGGGAAGAGAAGGTGCCGATACCGCTGCTCGTCCTGGACAGCCCTCGCCGCCACGGCTGGATTGTCCTCGACATGCTTGCCAGACCGCAGCCCGCCCCTGGAGAAGGGGTTGGGGGAGCAGCAGGATCGGTCATTTCCTTTTCTCTCCCGACGAGCGGTGGTCACGGATACATCCCCGCATCGCAGTCTGTGGGTCTTGGCGACCTTGCCGGCGGCCGCCGCGCCGCGGCGTCGGCTTCGGCGGCCCTCCTCACACAGGTCCCCGGTGCCGACGGCAGCGGTTTCGGCGGCGCGGCTTCGTCGGGCGCGCCCGCGGGCGAGGCTTGCCGCGGGGCGGGGGGGGACAAGTCTGAGGTTGCAGTTCCTTGGGAAGGTAAGAGCACTGTCGGCACTGGTGTGCCCGTGGCCGAAGACTGGCAGGATCTCCTCTGGGCGACGCAGGGAAGCGGGTTGGACAGCGCCGACATTCGCGCGCAAACTGCCCGCGTAAGGTCGCGCGCAAGCGCCTTCGTTTCCAATGCAGCGAGCCGCGCTTGCGGGTCGCGTAAGCCGCCGCGGAAGGTCCGTTTCGTGTGTTCGTTCATTTCATTCCGTTTCTTCCGGCCGGTGCCGACGACCTTGAATGACGACGACGACGTCGACGACGACGACGACGAGCGCTATCGGGGGTCTCTTGGGGGTAGTTTGGGGGCATCTTGGGAAGCTCTTGGGAGCCGCTTGGGGGCCTCGTGGGGGCCTCTTGGGGCTTCCCGGGGGTCTTTTGGGGGACTCTTGGGGCTCTTGGGGGGCTTCTGAGAGGCCTTTGGGGGCCTCCTGAGAGCTTCTCAGGCCGAGGGATCGAAATGTCCGTTCGGGTCCCCCGTCTGGACTCCCTCTTGGAGCCGTTTTGGGGGCCTCCTCGGCTGTCTTGGAGGCCTCTTGGGCGGTTTTCGGGCCATCTTGGGTCGTTGTGGGGCTCTCTTGGAGGCCTCTTGAGCCATCTTGGAGCGGTTTTGGAGGCCTCTTGGCCTGTCTTGGAGCGTCGGGAAGCTGATAAGGCGAGAATGCTGATTTTTTTCTGTTTAAAGAAAAAACCTATGGGACATCGACGTTAGTTTGCCCCTTGGGCCGTCTTGGAAGAACTCTTGGAGGCCTCTTGGGGCGTTTTGGAATCCTTTTGAGCCGTCTGGAGGTTACTTTGGCGACTTGGACCGACACTTCGGCGATTCGGGGCCCTCGAAGATCGTCTTGGGGACATGTTGGGGCACTTTTGCTGCGTCTTGGGGCTTTTCTGGGCCCCCGAACCGCCCAGGGGGAGTCGTATCTGCCTCAGGACCCTCCCGGGACCCCTCCCCGGGACCCCCCCCCGGGACCCCCCCCGGGACTCAACCTCCGGGACCCCCCCTCCCAACAGGCGGGGAAGGGATCAAAGGGAAGCGGTTTCCCTTCGACTCAACTACAATGTTGCTCAATTCTGACGAGTCAAACGGAGTAGCATCTTCCACACGCCGACAGGGTCGGCGGATCTTGGGCTGTTCTGGCTTAGTGGCCCCGAACTCTGGCTTAACAGTGTGTCATCGTTCTTACAAAGGCCGCCCAGGAGCTGCTTCCTAAGGCAAGGGGGAGGGGAGGTTCAGGGGCAGCGTTAAGTTCGCGGTTCGAGGCTTGTGCGATCGCGGTCTGCGCGTGATCGTGCGGTCTTTGCGTTTCTCAAGCCTCGGGCATGCTCTCCAGCAGCTGAGCTTTGTCGAGAGGACTCCCGGGGTGCCTGGTTCGTCTCGAACGGCCGCCAGAGACATGGAGAGGATCACTTGCAGGAATAGAGGCTCTGGGGGGAGCGCATCGAACCCCCAATCGCAAATGTTCCGCCGATGCGGGCAGTAGGCGACACCGCCCACGAATTTGCGGTCTCGCTTTCGGGGATTCATCGCCGATCTATCGGCGATTCCAGGTAGATGCTTAGCCCTCTGGGCCAGTTCCCCCTGTCGTTCCCCCTCAGAGGTGGGAGCGACTAAAAGAAAATCTGCATCGGCCTGTCATCTGCGCTGGGCTCCTCCCCTGGCGGCGCCTCTGACGCCGCCCCCGACTCGCTCTGCGCGCAAGGGGAAGGCGGTCCAGCGCCAATTGCAGAAAGCTGGTTGGACCCGCGACAGCGTACGTTTATTTGTGCAGGTGCTTTTCCTGCTAGAGGGGAAGAGGGAGGACGAAGGGAGATGGGCAGTGGGATGAGAAAGGGCAGAGCGAGTAGAAATGTAACGCGGCGGAGAGAGAGGTCGTTCTCCGACGTTATGGTGGGCATCTCCGCTCGGGACTTCTCGTCCTTCCGTTCCCCCCCCCTCTATCTCTATCTCTCATCGATTTGGCAGTTTGGTGGCCGTGCCTCAATCCGAGCTGCAGAGAGATCTGGCTGCCATGCGAGGATCGCCCCGGCGATCTGGGAGATGCTGGCGGGCGGTGTTCATCATCTGGAGTGGCGTAGAGCATTGCCATGGTCCTCTTTTCTTCGTCGGAGCTCCACGCGCCGTTGTCCCCTGACCATGCGGTCTTCACCATCCTCACAGTGCAGTGGCCGCGCGCCATCTTGGACGCCCGCATGGCGTTCGCTGTCAACAGGACGACTCGAAGGTGGGTCCACCATCCCTGGAGGGGCGGACATCGCTGCCATGGCCGTCTTGTGCCAGGCGGTGTTCCGCGAATCGTTGCGTTGGGGCCGTTCTATCATCACCGATTTGGCAGCGCGCGTGATTTCGTTGCGTTTTGCCTCAGGCCGATCTTCGCCAGGAGTCACAGGACCGTGGCCGACAGGTCCGACATCATTGGTTGGGCGATGGACGTTGTCATGGTCGACTGATCGCCAGCGGTGGGGCGGTTCGTTGTGATTGGGCCCTCGGTCATCACCGACTCGGCACAATTGGGCCGTGCCTCGTCCCGCCAAAATCGCCACGTTGCCAGGGACGCGTCGGACCACGACGCGGGCGCGGCGAGGGAAAGGGAGGGAATCTGATTGTTTTGATCCAAGTGGCCCCCCTCCCAGCGCGGTGAGAGGGGCCTATAGGGAGGGTGGCCCGAGCACCCACATCCCCGCCACAAGGGGTGGATGCGAAGTTTCTATGTGCGAAGCGGATATGCCTGGTTGTTGTTTCGCGATTGTCGACGCTTTTGTAGTCTGACGGGCCCGTGGATTCATTCATCCCAGCATTTTAATTTGCCATTTTCGTCCACTATGGCTGGCTTCTGGCCGCTCTTGTACGGCCTCTCCCTCAAGCTCCAAAGGTGCTTCCCCGCGGCGGTGCCTGGATCTGCATGTTCCTCTCCAGGGCCGGCTTGTTCGATTTCCTCGTGCGGCCTGACAAGCACTACCACTACAAGGTCTTGCCACCAGAAGCCAATCCGAGACCAAAGGGTGGGTAGGCATTGGAAGCATACCTGTCCTCGGTCAAATCTTACATCCTATGCGCCACCTCCTCTCCTCCACCTCCTTTTCCCTCGCTTCGGTCTCCATGCGGCGCGCGGGCGCCAGACGCAGGGAATCGTGGAAAGTACCCCCGTACCATGGGGCCAGCGCGGCCTGACCTGGCGGCGGAACACACCAATCTTGTATGGAAGCGGGGTCCGTCGTTTTTCCACGCGCGTCGATCCACGTTTGCCCTTCCTCGGCAGGAGGAGGAGGGGGGACTCCTCCTCTTTGTCTCCCGCTGGCCCTCTCTACGGCCTTCTCCACCTCCCCCTCGTCCTCCCCGCCCTCCTCTTTTTCCTCTTCTCGCGCCCCCCCCGTCTTCCTCCCCATCCTCTTCCATCATCTTCCACTCCTTCCCTCCTCCCCCTCGTCGTAGAAGAGAAGCCCAGGGCAAGGAGGGGAGGACACTGTCCAGTTGCGTGCGGCAGACCCCTTCACCACGCTTTCGCAACATCGCAGCGGGCAGGAGATAGCGAGTAGGAAAAAGCGCAAGTCCGACTATTGGTCTGATCTTTAGCGGGCCGTGAAGTCGACCTCGTCTTCGCCCGCGCGGTGGGGGGAGGTCGGCCTCACGCCCCGCTGCAGTCCAGCGAGCGGTCTGAACTGAGGCGGGTCATGATCTCGACCTCGTGTTCGTCTGCGCTGTAGTCCGGACGACGACGAACAGGAGAACAGGATGGGGTTTGTCATCGTTATGCTTAGGTTGCGCCCTCTTCTCCAGTGCTGGCCGCAGGGTAATCAAACGGGGGGAGGTAGTGTCCAGAATTTCCGTAGAGCAAGCGAAGGAATGATGTTGGAGTCATGTTGCCCATGGCTCCGAAGTGTTTGATAATCCAGATTCCGCCTGCGTTCGGCAAAACATTCCCGTACCTATAGCCAATATGTTCGACTATCGATTCATCTGGAAGAAGACATTGACATTTCGACCCCGCAACGGCTCCAGCCTCTCACGGTGCTCGTCCGAGTACTCGAGGCAGCCGTCGTGTGTCACATTCGCCTTGGCCTTCTTCATGTAGTCCAGTCCCAGGAGCATCGGACTCTCGGAGGGCATCAGCGTGAACCACAGCTTGCTTCCGTGATCTCGCAGCCCCATCGGGTGTGGGATGCCTCCTCTGCCCACACTCGTGCCCGTGGTGTTGTTCGCGTAGGTGAAGCGAACCCGCTCCTGGTGATTCATCTCCGTCAAGTCCTGGCCATACGCTGCATGTATCTGCTCCCGCACGAACTCGAAGAGCGCCAGCCCACTCATGGACTTGGTGGCTCTACTGTCCACGATCGCGTAACCTCGGAGGTCCGCCTCTGAGACGAAGCTGAGTCCCAGCGCTATGTTCGGAGAGATGGCCAGCTCCCACTTGACCTCACTTTCCCAGTGCGATACACAGAAGACGGTCATCTCGTCCACGGTCTCTTCGTCCGGTGTCTCGAAGCTGATGTTCATGTTTCCATAGCTTGGGAACCCCCAAACCGGGTGGTGAGATACCAGGTGGCGACCTGGAATCCCCAAAAAGGTCACCGCTGGGTTTGGGGACGCGGGGTCACCACCGGGTTTTGTGACTCCTGGACCCACCAGTGTCCGGGACATCCTCGGAAAATCGCACGAGTCCCCAAACCGGGTGGTGACATCAAATCGCCCGAGACTCACCGCCAGGTGTTGTCACCACCACGTTTGGGGAATACCAAATAGCCGTCACCCCCCTGTCTGGTACCGGGAGGGGCAGTCCACCGAGTTGTGTCCCACCTGGCGGCGTCGGAGGCATTTCATGCTGACTCCGCGGCCCTGCTGTGGTCGTCCCGCTCGCCCTAGCTCTCGAGCCTGGACGGCCGGGGCTCTCGGTTGTGACGGAATTCCTTTGTCTCTGGACGCCCGAAATGGGTACTGAAAGAA